AAACAAACTAAATACCTCTGCGTATGAAAGATGATGAACCTAGAAAGAAAATTGCCAGCTGTCGTTTTGTGTTTCTAGCGTTATTATGCCTTTTTGTCCCCCCTCTGAATGCACGGTAGTAAAGAAAACGTTAACCTCAAAGCTTGTAATTTTCACACGACATTATTGTAGTAACGCTGTCCTTCACCTCTACCCTCTGCGTTGTCAATCCAGACGAGAAAGAAAAAAACGAGTCTGCTAGACTAAGGTATATTATGAACAGTACATAGTTAATTTTATAGGTCACCTGCTATCATCGCCGACTGCGCGTTCTGAGCTGGCTCACACCATGCGACTGGGCAGATTTCATACCTGCTAACGGTCTGCACTGGCCAGCTGTAGTCGCGCTCCATCATGTCTGTCGCGTAGCAACCTGTGATGTTGACGGGCTATTTCAGCAGCTTCCTGTGTGTCAAGCGTGCTACCACCAACCCGTGCCATGATGACAGACGTCACGTGACCGTGTCACCTTCATAAGTTATGGTCTTCGATTGACTATCAACACATGTGGTAGTGTTATGTGGTTCTATTGTGGTGTAAGTTGCATATTTTGCTAAAGTTGTACACTAATAAAGATTCTCCTAAATGCTATTAAATTAATGTCCCGTTCTGTGAGATACCTTCGTTAACCAATAGCGTATCCATATAAATGATCAGTTCTTTCTGTCCTGACTGTAGCGCAGTGTTACACAGAGCTGTTGCGCGGACATTTCCTGCCCCAACGACGTGTACTAAATAAATAGCGTGGATAAATAAATGGATGAAATACGAACTTTCCATCCTTTGAATATTACTCCTAAGTACACTTGATTAACATATAAATTCAGGTTGGCGAGGCGTCACTGAGGTTAATCCACATGAAAGATGTGGCATGTTTCATTTTAACAGAAATGTGCGCCTGATGACCCTGGGTTAAACGACCGATTTGATTATACTACCGTCAGCTACTGGCGTTGTGCATGGAGTTGTGTGGTTACAATTTGTGAATAATCATAGGTTCTCAGTCACCTGTTTATCTATTACACCCATAAATTAACCAGCGGCCTTGAAATGAGTTTCTAAAATCAGTGGTAGCTGTTACTTGGCGCCTCTCGTTCTCACCATCTTGTGCATAGCCCAGTATACTTTGAGACAGCGAACAAGCACGAAAGGCAGTAGATGAATTTGACTGATAATGACTTTCCAGTCTCCGGAAAAATGTCCCGCGATTAATCCATACAGATCTGGCCGAGAGATATCCAGCAGCCGTCATTGTGAAACCGTCAGAATCATCAAGGTCTGAGTGGAATCATTCATCTGAAGTCACGGGATATTGGGTGATACAAATAGGTTGAGCACGGACGTAAGAATGTTTAGCTTGTGACCTGTTGTTATCTGACTCATGACATTTTTCAGCAATATTGTATGGGCATGTTTATTAAACCCGCACGGATTCACCCTGTACGATTGCGATAATTGACCTTAACCACGAGTGACTTATTTGAAATTCGCCCATACACTGAAAGATTCGAATAGTCCCTGACATGCATTCATTTGATATATATCTGAGGTGCAATGTTAAGTTTTTGGATTAGAGTTTGCAATTCGGCATGAAGGTAATAATAACAATCGGTCAACTTGGTCAATTACGTTATGAACTAACGAAATGCGTATAATAATGAATAATCGTTCATAACCAAGTTAGACATATACTGGATATGTTTTTAGCATCTCCACCAATGAGCGGTACATCTATGTCTACCGAGTCGGGGGTGAAATAGTTCGGTACGGATACAATAAAAGAGGACTATTTGCACCAATAATATGGTCAGCAGGTTTGAAAAGTTGAAGATCCCCTCAGAACAAGTTTCGTTCTAAAATATTCCATATTTTTATTTAAGCCTCATCGTTTTGAGTGTAGCACGTCGCGATACTGCAAAACGCGAATTTCCGGAGGGACCAAGTGATCTGGTCGTTGATCGAAACAAGCCATGGACAGCTGTTTATTCATCCAATTAAATTACGGCAAATAATGGAGCAGTCTTTTTCGCACTGTAGGACAATTGATCAAAATAACCTGATTACTTCCATACCATACCATACCATATCCCAAAAGACATCTGCGACTATATCTCTTTAATGTTATGCATTCTCATCGGTGTAGAACAACCTAAATCCAAAACAGATACATTAGTGGTTCCGCTCTACCTAGGATACATTTTATCATTGCATGAATCAGATGTTCAATGTAGCATCCGTACACATGGTGGAAGTAAACAGTCGATGTAGGCTGATCGCCAGCGTTCTGTTCAAACTCTTCATCAAGCCATGCCTACATTAACCGGAATGCTACATTGAAATAATAATACGGGCCCGTTGTATCTCATTAAGGTTCTCTATGTCTAAACAATCAGAATCAGTGCAATCAGCTAGACGACTGAAAAATTCGAGGCGAAGAAGGCCAGAAATGTTTGCAATGGTTTTATCTTTGCTGATATTTGCGTTCTAGAAAGGAAAGCTTAACTCACTTAAATGAAACGGATAAAACAACCGGCTTAAACGAAACTGCGTTATTCTGAATTGTAATATCAATCTCACAGATGTAGGAAGGCCTCATGGATGGTCATTTTATTGCTTGCTTAATGATTAGCAAATAATTTGAGAAAATATGTGAAGCGTACATCAACTACATTAATTCAGGTGAACAAAGGAGTTCTCTGCATACATATTCCTTATTGCGTTAATGGTAGAAACAGTAGGAAATTTTCCAGCTTCTATAGCAACCTATCCTCATTTTCTAACGAAGATCTGGAATAAAGATGAATTGGCAAATCTATCAATGTGGCGGTGACTGTCCGCACTACTGGATAATGCGTTCATGCCTTGTTTCGTGCACCTTGATGCATTCGAGAAGAAAATGTTTATTTATTTATTCAGCTATCGTGATCAAGAAGTGGGATAGTGGACCCACATTGGCTTTAAGCAAATCAATTCCACACAATGCGCTTCGTAAAATCAGGCCTGCCGCAGCTCAGTGACACATGCAAGAGCCTCTCTGTGTTGTACGCTGTTTTAAATACATTAATTTTTTCGTGTGCATTCGAAAAATGAAGCCCTGTTAACTTGACCACCACCACCAACAACAACAACAACAAAAACAACAACAGTAACACAACAACAACAACAGCACAAAAACGACCACAGTAACAACAACAAAAACAACAAATAATTCATTGCGAAGAAATTTCTTTTCGCTAAATCTCTTCAGTCGATTGCAATTATGAGCTTCATAATCCTTTGTGCAGCAGCTTTTGCTAGCTATGCGTCACAAGGTTGTTAATGCTGCGATCAGATGAAAAGTGGCAGTCTATGTCTGTTTGAACCCACTGCCAAAATTCAGGTGATCAGGCAACGGCCACGGTAGGGTTAAACTGCATAAGTGCATCCTGTTTACACAATTGGGGCTTCAGTTGCTTGATCGCCATTGCTTCTGCTGTGGCCAGTAGGCGCTTTGTGTGCGTCTTTGTGTGCAGCGTTTTGCTGCTACATACACTATTTTGAAGGCCCATTTCGTTTGTTTGTTATGTCCACTCTCTACTAGGTGTTCTAGTATGGAGCTGTGGACATTTCTGGTGATACCAAGCTGTAATGAGGCAGGGCGGTGTACCACTTTCATAAAGGTCTGGTCGTATGCCCGAGGTATCTCGCATCACAGGTACAAGTGAACTAGTAGTGGACATAGGATGTGGACTGTGCCGGATTTCTGTATTTTAGGCCACCGTTCATCCGATTGCATCATTCACGACTTTGTGACGCATCCCTAGCAATAGCTACCGCACAAATGATTATGAAGCACATAATTGTAATTACGTGAATTTATCGAAAAGAAAATTCTTTATCGATTCCACTTATAATTCTGATCGCAATCCTCTTGTTGGAGCATAATTAGCCATACCAAAGCAATACAAGAATGAACTAAGAGTGCGTCGAAGTTTACAAAATAGATCATATTGCTGAAGTGATACACCCGTTTTGCTGTAAATCCTACCTAAGTGCAGCTTTCCTAACAGTAGCATTCATGTTTGCACTTGAGGATGCTAAACTCCGAGCTGTCAAATATTTCTGTAGCAATCTTCGCATTTTCACCATGAAAGAACTTCTAGCTCATGCGTTATACCTGACACTATACTACAGCTCTTTCATTCCCTAACAGAATCGCGTTAATGGAACGATGCATTATCTGCCAACTATGTGAATGGATTACATACACACACACTATACATAAATATAAATAAATAAATAAATTTGTATATTTACCGACGGACGGTACACGGCCCCATAAGTGGGAACGATCTTTTTTTCAGACACAACAAATGTAGTGGAAAGAATATAACACACGCAAACAAACGCTTCACATAGAGGAATTTCCGGCGCAATATACATAATCAGGAAGCGGATAACAGAAGGCGAGGGGAAATAAGACCGCGACGTTGTGTAAAAATAAACCAATCGGCATCTGAATACACAAGTGGCACAGCCAGCCAAATTCTAATAAAAGTACGTACGCAGGACAGGGAGGCAAAGGGTCGATTCGGTGTTCAGTGGCCTCGCATGCATGAAAAGGAGGCCCACAACAAAGACAGGATGTCAGTATGTGCGGACATGATAAGCAAAGTAGCTTAATCGGGAGGGCGGGTGGGAGCGGGGTACGGTTTGATGGATGATTGGCAGGACCAAGCCAAGATGATGACAGGAAAGGGAAATCAAGTCAACGGACACCAAACCATAATCGAAATAGACTATGATACAGTTAGCGCAAGACCGTCGCGATGTCGAACACAGCATCAATGGGGCACGCATACCTAGAAAGTCGTAATAACTGTGTACATACAGGTGATAGGGTTTAGTGCGACACGAAAGCACTCTGTACTGAAAGAAGACCGTTTGTGTGCAGCCACATTGGATGGATGTCGAAGAGTTCAACGGTGAAATTCTGAGCGTAGAAAAGACATCATTCGGGCATTGAGAAATTTTTGTCAATTGAGCCCTTAGAAACGACGTTTGAGTTCCCCCAACTTTTGAAGGCCTCTGTTGAGATAACTTTGTTGTCCAATAGTGACTTGCGCCATTGCTCGACTGGAACAGTTTTTGAACACTCGTCAAGCGCATGCAGGACTTGAGACTCGCGTTCGGGATTGTGGTCGACTAGGATTCCTAGCGCAATAACTCTTTGATCGATGGATTGCCGAGGGAGATCTCTGTGTCTGTTGACCAATGCGATGGTACACTGTCTGATTAATCCGTAGGGTAAGTCGGAATGCGGCAATTGCTTGAATAACTTATTGAGTTGGTCCAATGTGGTAGACTATAGCTGTGCCAAATCCCTGAGTTCTTTTAACATTTCTGCCAAAGGGTTAGGATCGATTGTGAACGATATCGAGTGCTAGTTAAGGAAAGACAGAACGTCCCCTGGGGATATTCCCAACTGAGTCCAGTTTAGACGCATGGACTGAAACTTGAAAGATACGACATCAGGACCAAGGCGGGCAGCACTCATTCTTAGGCAATGGGCCAAGACATTGGCGCCACGGCCACCTGAGTGGAGCGGCTTTAGTATGGAGGTTAGCAGTTGGAAATGATCTGGACCATTTTGGATGAAGTGTTGAAATATCTCAGCCAGATATTTCCATCCAAATACATACTCCGCTGTCCACCCGTCGTCCAGAGTAGAGAAGTAAGCCCGACAGGCGGATGCCACATCTGCTGGAGTGATCAATTTCTTATTCAATAATCGCAGACATAATTCACCTGCAGCTTTGCGCTCCTCCACACTCCTGTCCATCAACGTTTCAAAAACGAGATGAAGGAGCGCTGACCGATGCTCCGCCGGGCACTCCTCAACTGAGTCAAGCACATTGTCTTCCCTTGATAGAAGCAATTCAACGGTGGAACGAGCCATTCTTTGACATTTGTTTACGACAATCTCGTAATTCTCAATAGGCTTGGAATTTTCAAGTGCAGTTGCAGGTCCACTAGCTTTTCTTTGGGCCCACACTCCTTGAGGCCCCGGAGGAACGAGGGGGAAGCTTCCCGGGAACGACCAGTTATTGTGGCATGTGTTGTGGTTTTGGGACTCTGTAGCTGATTATCGTCGTTAGGTTTCAACTGTCCACTTCCCTGAACCCAATTTGCTCTAGTTGATCCTAATTTTCGAGCATCCTGAGGCTGCTGTGTCACCGCAAGACTTGAGGGTGTGACTGGATTAACCGACTGAACGGATCTGCGCTTTGAATCAGGAACAGGCTGAAGAGACTGCCAGCGAAGTTTCTCTTCTGTCGGCCGTCGAGAGATAACATTTGGATGAGCCGGAAGATCCTGATTGTATGTCATTTCCTTCCAGCCACGCTCGCGCAAATCACATAGCTCCTGGATTTTAAACACTTGGTGTGTAGGTAGCTTATTTGATTTGATATGCCCATTAAGTCGAGAGAAACAAGTGTCCAGAATGTTTTTCGCCTGTATTTCTAACTCTGATCCACAAATCTGTAAAATAATGAGCAATGACCTCAAGGCCTCGGGTGCAGCTGAATCCTTAAGCTTGTTTAGACAATCTCTCATAGCTTTTAGAGGCACCAGCCAGCAGAGGAATAGTTCAGATAGAAGTGTCATGTTTCCGTCATATGCTTCTTTCTTTTTTAAAACGTTGGTTTCCCGGTCTTCGTCTAGTATTCGCTTTACAGCCTCGTCTTTAGCAGATGCAATTTTTGCATCAATGGCGACGTTCAGATCGGATATCAATGTATCCAGTGGAGTGTTGAAAAGATCCTGAACGTGCCGCAGAACCAACGATTCAAAGGATTCAGAACCAGGAACCTCGAACCTTTTTAACTCCTTGCATAAAGTGGCAAACACCTTGCTGTATTTAGGCTGACGAATGCCCTTTTGAAAGACAAGTTTAGCAAGTAGTTGTAAGTCGTCAGAAGAGGATAACTCCAGCCTCTTGATGTCAGTAACCGTTTCGGTTAGATTTCCATCAGAAACACGGTTGAGAATCACGTTGAGCTCCCGTGAGAGCGCCTTCGGCTTGTCATTTTCAGCCGTACTATCTTTTTTACGGAGGGATGTAGGTACGAAGGCACCTTCTACTGTCTTCACTGTAATACCAGTAGGGAGCTTAATTATCCGCTGAGGAGCCCTATGGGGATTCCGACGATATTTCCACTGGTTGGCAATGTTTGTAATAACCGCTAAATGCGGAAGACTTAAGATAGCAGCCGGCGTCTCCTTGAGTGATAGCAAGAAATCCCGAGAATACCTCCGCCGAAAAAGTGTGTCATCGCCGTCGCTTTCATCAGTTTCTGTACACGACTCATCTTCCGCCGACTCAACATCCAACCGAGTTTGATCGACCGCGGGAGCACTTGGAAATTTGTCCGATAGCTGCTCTGCAGACGGTGCGATCTTATCCGAGGGAATAAGGAGAGTAGCTATCTCTTCCGTAGATTCGAATTCAGGGGCAGTTACAGAACAATCGGTCATGAGTGACGAACCGTCATATGGCTGAATGGGTTCGCTGGAAGTTATCTTTGAGTCGTGCAAGCCCAAGGGCGCAGTAGGACTAGCTAGATCTTGCGTTTTTGTTTCTGATATTACTGTCGGCTCGTTGAATTCTTCCACTGGCACTTCGTTGGATGCTGATCCTAGATCAACAATGACGCTAGTGTCTGGATGCTTGACGGTGAGGGGCCACTTCTCACGGGGCTTTGAAAGTTTAACGGATGGAACAGCCGCAGCTGACACGGGAATTTGCCCATGCATGGAGCTTGTAGTTGGCTGCTGAGTCTGAGCACTTTGCAGAACTTGAGGAAACGGAAACTGGTGGTACGACTGTTGTGTCATAACATGCCCATAGTCCTGAGTGCTGTTTGGTATATGACTGTGCATTTGCATATCCGGAATAGTCGGTGCATATGCGCACAGCATTGCGGGCTGCGGAAGATGCCTATATAAGAGTGGATCCGGACCCCGAACGGGGTAGACAGGAAAATATGGGTTGTGCATGTGCGCTACATTAGAAGGGAAGTTGACGCCGTCTAGACGAGAGTTTGCCGGTGTTTGATAAAACATGGGCGCCATACATGCTTCCGGTGTTCTACCAATCGTTTGAGTGGGAAATAAATTCGTTTGGTGTAACTGTTGCTGTTCACTCATCTTATAACGAAACACAGGCAAAAAACCGATGTGATTAAGGGCAGTGCGCCTACCCCAACCACGGAACCTCAGAAACGTGGATATCAGCTATAGGTGGGAAACACCACAGCTACTGTGCCGCAATGGATTGCATGCAGTTATCTATAATGGTACTGAGTACGGTAACCTTATAATCTCTTCTTGATCATTGGTCATGAATTCTGCTCGATAATTTTTGTTTTCGCTACCTAATGCAATATCAGTTACTATGTGGTAAACTTCCACAGTAACAAACAGTCTACCAATTCAATACACCACCAAACTAGTCCCTCATAAATATGTGTGTGCTTCCTCGACTACAGCAACGCTTTCGGCTGTGTTTACCTAAAATTGCCGTTGCAAGATCTCCAAGATCTCTTCAACCTTACCAAGCATCCTTGCTAAATGATTATTTTGCCAAATTACTCAGGTCATCAGGTTTGGCGAGAACAGCTCCGTACCAATTACCACAACATGCCGTGACATTCAGTGAGCTATTTATGTTAGATCAATACCTGTCCCAGCAAAAATCACTCTGTTAAGATATGCAGATGAATTTAATATCGACGTGAATCATCCAGCATGGGACTCTTTAGTCAAGCTGCAATGATGTTGAGAGGCATTAATGGAATGGTCAAATACCCGCTACTTGAGGCTGTAGGCGTCCTGGTGTAATGGCATTCTATTTTTACTTCATAAAGCAACACATTACCAGGAACTTGTCCCGGAATGTTCCAAACATCAGATTGAAGGGGACATTTTGTGCTTCTGTACGCCATTAATTAGCTTGGAGTTACTCTGAGCCATGATTGGACATGAGCACTTCATGCGAATGAAATATGCTTCAAATGAGATTTTTCTTTTACATTGCTCGACTGTGTTCATCCTGTCTGCCATACAATTTGATTCTGAAGTTCATCAATACGTTCATTCTAACACACTGAGCTTCTTGCTCTCCAGTGATTTTATCGTGCCTATTGTGTAAGCATTTCAAGCTATCTGAAGGTTCACTGAATCAATTATATCTCTGCAGTACTGTTCTAATGCCCAATTGGGAGTAATGGTGTTATCTACCCATGTCAATTCATACACTAAACTTATTCAATAATACTCACTGACATTAGCCAACCTCTTCACACTGCGCCTTCCAACTTTACATCTACCCCTTCCGTCAGACAAACACATAGAACAATTAATTTATGCTCGCACGAAAGCTTATGGTTGGTCGTTCATTCTGTGTTAAGCCAAAATTCTATCTAAACAAAACGTTATTATTCAATAACTGGCCTGCAACTTCTGCCGATGGAGTTGTCTTCCACTGAGACTTTTCTTTTGCTGTGTTTCTGTCGCGTAAAACTTGTTTTGTCGGGAACATATTATGGCTGGAAATTCACCCGCCACCAGTGCATGAAGGCGCATTCTTGACTCGTCTTGACTTAACTTTATAAAAATCAAATAAAATTCTGATATTCCGACCGGAATATTTCACCTCTTAAAATCAGTTGTTTTGGTCCACTATTCAAGTGCGTGATGCGTAGGATGCAACTCTACTAATTATCTGCAAACTATAGCGCTGTCTCAATGAAACTGGGCATATTGTTTTTCCACCTCATTTTTGGACGACAGCGCGTATCCACAAATGAGGTGCAGGAACTTGGTTATATCTATGTGCTCAAATGGCGCGCATATTTTCACCAGCCTTTCCTCATCAGTTTCCGGTTCACCACACTGCGCAGTAATGCACATAAGTTAACATCTTCCAGTTACTGTCACTTTTGACGTTTCTTATCCATCACCAAGTTGGCGTCAACCTAATTAAATTGCGTGTGGAGAATCGTGAAGCGTAACACACCACTTTTTCGTCTGCTAATAACCATCTATATATGACATTTATTCCATATATACAGGCTATGAACATAAATTATTAAAAATGCTATGATATACTGAGGATAAAACTATCCGAACGGATTTCTGTTCGGACCAGGCTTTACCATACACTTTGGTCAATCTGCATATTCAGTAGCCAAACCGTTAGGAAATAGAGAAATATTGATTGGTCAGCCAGGTGCTGACTAATTTAAATAATGCAAGGTGTTATCTACCGAGTTTGGTTTAAAAAATAATTTACAGAAACTTCGATGTCCATGATATTCTCAAATGCTTTAACGGCGACTTTGTCATAAAACAAATAGGAGAAACATCTTAACCTTAATTCACATACCACAGTAGTGCTCGTTTGGTGTGCTATTTTAGGCGCAAACTGCGGATACTTCTTGTTACCACCGAAACAAAGTGCTTCTGCATCCTCTAATTCATCGGACAGTTGTCGAATGATGGGCTGTTAACAGTATGTCAACTTATACGAAGCCAATCACAAGGATATTTAGATATGTAATATATATGATATATCATCTGGCAGCAAGGATACCGTTTGGCGCCTTCATAATTGTAAGTTAAAAATACTAGTTCAAGAGGCTAAGTCAGTCAACCGCTAAGAAAAGCAAGCTTGCTTCAAAGGGCAGCTCAGTTTGATGGCAAGCCTTTCAAGAACGATTTTCCGCTCCAGCAACACATTATGCACCTCCAAGTTTTAGACCAAGCACTCACTCAAAATGAGTATACAAACCAGTGCATATGCTGGATTAATTATTGTGAACTGAAACTTGAAAACTCCAAGATGTGGGGTTGTGTTGTCGATATACTTTCGATATACTGCCAGGCGCACACGCGAAGTGACAAAATCCGTTAAAACACGCTGTTAACAAGGCTCGGTTGTGTGAGATTTTCAAGTTCGGTGCGCCCTCTTCATAGCGGATGGCTAGAAATTTATTTCATTTCGACGACTTCTTTTCCGCTGTTGTCTCCAGCACACTATGCCAATACCACTGGAAGCTTGAACAGCTTGATCTATGCGCTTCGACTTGCCTAATACGAGCAAGTACTTGGTGTGCACACGTGTAGAATTGGACTCGGCATATGTGACTGCTCAACACTTAGTATCCGGTGCGTCATAATGTGCTACACATCAGACCATAGATAAGAGGAGTGTTAAGCCAAGCCAGCTGCCTTCCATTTCATATGACATACCCGTAAAATGGGGACGACTCTAATAGCCGCATACTAAAAGCGTGAAATTTTGTACACTTCTCCAAGATGGGGACAATAAGCTTGTGAGCCGCACACGAACATTGGTCTTATCATGGAAGAGAACAGGCGCATGACAAACTTTTCAGACAAAGTGCAGAAGTAACGCTTGAGAATCCGCGCTGGTGCAGTCCATTACTGTATAACCCAATTGAGTTGTCTACGGGCTTCAATTCGCAGTGTTAGAGTATGCCAAGATCCTCCACGGAAGGTGTGTGATGCAGCGGTTGATCAGCCAGATTGTATGTGTGCTCATTATCAACCTTCCTTAGGTTTACTACTAAACACTTAACAGGGTAGACCGGCTGATCGATCTCTACGGATGACTTGAATAGGTGATGGTGGTCACAATTAGTTTGCTTATCTTCGGGAGTTTTGTCAAATATTCCGATTTGTTGACTAGCTAAACATATTTTATGCTTATAATTACCTTCTGGTAAGCTCATGTTCGTTTGGTACTCTTCCGCTACACTACAGATCAGGTGTTATTTAGATGACTGCAATGTTCCAGGGTTGCTAATACACGATTAATCATGGCATGCAATGATACATTGTATCTTACTCCAGCATTTGGCTAATGTCATATTAAGCTGGTTGGCTTTGAAGTTCGGTGCTAGTAAAAGGAATCTCTCTAATGGTATCCAACCAAAACATTCAGCATTTGTGAGTGCCTGAAGGTCATTCTTGACCTGCTCAGTATCTAACCTTTTACTAAAATCCCACAAACTGCAGCAGGTGCCCCTCAAACAACTCGGCCGCTTCTTAACTTTTTATGCTAAATTCACTGATTGACGCTGTACCAACAACAACAACAACCACCGCGACGACCACGACAACAACAACAGCAACAACAACAGTACATCAGCCATTTGAACTGATGCTTCGCTGCCATGCAACTATGATGACCTTGAAATAAAGAACAATGAGAGAGAGAGGTGGCGGACATACACGAAAAGCTTAATGCCCTAAGCAAACATCCAGCGTCAAGGAGCCTACACCCAGTGTAGACAACATACCGTCATAAACAGCTGGCTATCGTGCAAAGATAAGGCGGTATAGGCGTGACAGCTACGTTGCGGCTTTCAGTGCATCGCGTCATAATCAGCCATAACCTCGCAGATAACTCAGCACCAAACACAATTTAAACAGGCGCTGTATAGCTTGACGTAATTTTTCGGATTTGTTCTTTCCTACAGTTCAGCCTTTATTTCGCCACCACTTCTTTTGGCTAACAGAACTTTCTTTAGCTAACGGTTAACCAATCCCACAACCGATCATCTACAGTGTGCGGAAAAAGTGTATGAGTTAATCCCCACAGATTATTAGGTAGTGCAGACTACATAGAGCAACAAGTCCACCAATCATCCGATATTCAGTGTGAGTACTAGTAAAATATACCAGAGCAAACTGAGTCCATCAGTATGACACTTGATGTCAATGGTGATACAACTATGAACAGTAATGTGCTCACATACATTCCGAAGCGCTTAGTGCATTAGACCCATAAACATATTATAATAACTATA